CGTTTACAAAATTGTTCAAATTGGGACAAGAATGAAAGTGAAAAAAAGTCTGATAAAATAAAATGGATACAGAATTAAATGTATGTAAATATTAATTGCAATGTTTTTAAACAATAAAATTCTATACTTTCAATCGGTTAACTAATACAGCTTTCCACTTTGTACAGAAAAATGTCTATATCTTATAAATTATGAGCTTTAAAAATTATCTTGTCGCAAGTTTTTGGACTTTTATGCAAATTTATATTTTTGATAATATAAATAAGAAAATAGGATTTCAGTAGAAAATTGATTTACATATGTGTTAGTAATATATAAATATCTGTTGATTATAAAAGACACTTTTAATTATATCTTAATTACTTTATATATTAAGCGCATTCTGCACAATTTTGCACATGCAATGTAAATGCATAAAAATTCGCAAGCCTGCATCTAGTTACTATAGTTTGAAATTTACTAGATCACTTCAATGTAGAATATTCGCACTATAAACAATATTCGAATAATCTCTTATTATCCTCGAATCACTCCTCGAATCACAATAAAGAACATACTATGAATTAACATTCTTAAATACAATATCATTCTCATCATTGTTTATCGTCGCTGAAATATGTATACTAAGGTGCCTAAGCAGAGGATGTTTGAGGGAAAACGTAGGTAGATCTTGAATGAACCTTGACACGACTTCGCGAACTCAACGCCAATCCTTGAATGAATCTAACTATTCCTACGCAGCGTTTCATGGAGGTGTAGAATTTCTGTAGCTAGCTCTATGTATGAATGAACACAGGAATAGCTGTGCCAGGAAATGGTGCCATAATAAATACTTCGTCTACTGACAACCCGTGCCAGATTTCCTCCTCCTCCTCCTCCTCCTCCTCCTTCGCCATTCTGTTCCACTCTTGTCTCCTTTTGAAACGAAAGGTTCTTAATAATGATAATGAGGACAACCGTTTCGTCTTTCTCAAACCGACTAACCTAATCGTCCGATTCCAGACAGATCCTTCACCATTGCAATATTTCTGTATGCACATTTACGATATCGTCCATTCCGTGTCAACTTGGAATAGCGTTCCCAGTTCCAAATATACCGCCTGACGGATGCTCGTATTTAAAATAGATTTCGCGACGAGATCCTTCCCAGGAAATGTGCTCTTTAAATATTCATGCATCGCCGTCATTTCACGTACACGAATGTGTTTAACGCGTATTTATTATTGGTCGTCGCGAACGATGAACTCCCGTTTTGTTCGACATCGGTAATGCTTGTATTATTTACATAGGCTTATATATTTATTGGATTGATCAAAAAGTAATTACGTCCGTTTCTAACAGATGGGCACGGATACGTATATTTTAAAATGTAACTAACTTCATTTTAAACTGCAGATTTATTATCGTGATCTGATTACCTGTTTACTCAAACTCGTTTCAGAAAAATAAAACGATTTCTCGGTAATTGTTCGTTTGAGATTGACTTTAAAATCGTATTTCGAAATCAAAAAGGAATTTTTGTCACATTTCGCTGTAGCATTTCCGAAAAGGGAAACGAATGTTATGCAAGCTCGTGAAACATTATTTGACGTGTATGGTGTAAAGAAGCCTTCAAACTACAGCAGCGTCGGAATTGATTTGTTAAATTTCTACTACTGATGAGGATGTCAAATCGTTCTTCGAACGTTTCTTTGCCGAAAACGATAAGAACTTTTTTGAACACGGAATCATGAAGTTGGATGAAAGATGGCAAAAGGTAATTGAACGAAATAGTCAATAAATTAGTTTAATAAAGTTTTTGTCCTTCATAAGAAATTCGTCTTTCATTTGCACACGGAAAACGCAGTTACTTTTTGGTTAAACTAATACATTGTGTATAGGATGAAGTAATAGCTATTACCACTTTAAATACTTTCTTTATTTTTGGAGATATGAAGAAACTTTGTTAAACAAAAATTATTCAATAAAAAAGGGGGCATAATGTAGAAATAATAATTTCTTTTTTTTTGTGAATGGAGAGGTTCTGAAGATTTCAAAGTCACCATTTCTTTTAAATGAAGTGATATATTTTTTGATTCATTAATCAATGCAGCTTGACATTCTCTTTAAGAAAGTATTAATTTAGATATTTTAACTTTAATTTTATAAAATATATGTATAAAAGATAAAGACACAAGAATAATGTTTCTGCCTTTCTTTTCCTTATATACCATAGATTTTGCAAAATTATAGTTAAAATATTCCCTAAATTAATAATTTTTCGATATATGTACATAACATTTTTATTGAACTATCGATTAATGTACAAAAGGATATATGATTCTATATAAAACAGTGAAGATGATTTTGAAATCATCCTTCAACTATCAAAAAATTATTACCAAAAATTGTTATTATCATGTCCTCCTCATACTGAACAATTTCCGTTAACAGAGGTTTTTTCTTATCTTTAAAGACAATGAATATATTTATAATAATGATGATGATGATGATGATGATGATGATGATAGTATAATTATAATAAATAATAATTATTATTACTTCACTTCGCATATGTATATTGATAAACATATTATGTAAATGTATATGTTGGAGGGAATTCGATTACTTTTATTTATGAACTATACGATCTGTGATGGTTTTTCAAGGTAAAAGAGAGGATTTAACTCTTCTTTGCAAATGAAAAATCGAATGTACACGTGTAGAAAACTGATTGAAAATGATACTTGTTCTTATTAAAATAATAGTCAGTGAAATGGTCAAGTGATTGTAAGCTTGTTTGCAAGGTTTATAAAAAGCAAAGATGTACTCAGGCTATAAACATCTTTTATCCCTTTAATCCTTTATATTCTAACGGTGCTTAAAAATACTAATTTTAATATAACGATAATTTTTAATTTAATTTAATTTAATATTTAATGAATTTAACGAATTTAATACAACAATTCTTTACTCAAAATGACATGTTAATTGAATATTTATGAATCATTCTAGACAGTACGAGAATATTCAAATGTTCTTACTTTGTGTAGTATCACACGTTTTATTTGTTTCTGTTTATAACAGTACATTACAGACTCCTTTATGCGACTCCTGTCTACTTTCCGAATATTATATTAATATTCGAACATTACATTATCAGAACAAAATGTTTGTTAGTAACTACTGCTACTACTGAATCTCATCTGCTATCAGCGGACATACTATTCTGCTAATATAACGTTTCGAATAATGAAATATTCAAAAAATTATGAAATTATTAGAAAATATTTTTTTCTCTTTCTTATGTTTACAACTTGTCAAGAGTAACCCAAGTGTCACAAAAATTTAATAATTAATGCCAGATAATTGTGCCAGACATAAAGGGTTAAACCTATACTAACATGTGACAAAACAACTCATGTTCCGAAAGAGTTGATGCTTAGGTCTTCTTTCATAGACAAAGGACACTATCAAACAAAGCATCAGAGTTGCCCTCCAATTAATTGATCCGGCAACCGTTTCAATCCACATTGGAATGATCGAAATGATACATATCACGTCGATAGCTTCAAACAGCGTTCGACGTTTGCACAAAATTTGAAGAATTTCAACTTTCTTTACTTTCTTACGTCAAAATACAGCCGTTCGCAGTAGGTACGACTGAATTCGAGCGAGGCTCTCTAGCGGCTCGTCACCGGACAATTTCGCAACGCGGTACGCTTGGAAGGTGTTCGATGACTCGAGTCAGCAGCCCGCCAGTTGCCAAGCGAATTTATCGTTCGCAGGACGCAGCGTTAGAAGGTCGACGGCGGGTGGGTTTCTGGGGTATAGTTCCATCGTTAAGGAGTCGGAGTGGCTGTGGGCTGGATAGGGAGATGGTTTAGGGTCCATACATAGAAGGAGCCAGCACCAGCACCAGCACGTATAAGGACGGAACGTGTGGGGTATTGACTAGCCGGCTGGTCCCGGCAAGGGTTGCGGCTAAGACGGAGCAGAAGAGGGACGAGGAGAAGGAACACCTGAAGAGACGGAAGGAGGTGGATAGAAAGCAAGATAGAAATGGACGCGAAAGTGAGAAAGGAGCATGAGGAGAAGAGAACCGGAGCAACAGAGTGAGAGGAGAACGCGAAGAGAAATAGAAGGCAGGATGGAGAGAGAGAGAGAAAGAGAGAGAGAGAGAGAATGGCTATATAGAGGGAAGTGGTGGAAGAGTAAGCGAGAACACAGGCTCTCTCATTGCTAAAGGTGGTTGTAGGTTGGAGGGATGAGACGCGTAGGGTGGTTGGGTGGACTACCTAAGACTGATATGGATTGTAGATTATTCTGGACCTCGGGGTGCGGCTTGGCCAAGGGTTAGTATCTCAGAACCCTTGGCGCTCACCTCCACCTCCTCTCTTCTTCTGCCTCTGCCTCGTTCTCAACCCGCGTTACCAAACCTCTCGGCGTCCACCCATACTCTCCCTTCACCATCCACCGATCTCTTCGTGCTTCCTGCCAACCCTCTGCGCGTTGCCCACCACCCATCTCGCGGCTCCTTCTCGCAGAAGTTCGTCTGTTCCGACGTGGCTAGGCCTGCGGCCGATTACATGCCTTTCCGTAATCCGATGTTGCGCGAATCCCGCGTTTCAGGTCAATTCCCTGTGTTCTTGACGATTCAAAACTTACGAAATTTCCTTGCCGATCCCCCAACCAATGATTATTATCGTTGTTTAACAAGTTTCACGATTTCTTTGGTATCTTCGAACGATTGTTCCGATTCACTTTTAGAGAGTCTGCCACTTTAATATTTGAAACGGATGACTTTAAATTTACTTGGCAGGAATCTTTTTAAAAAAATGTCAGTAGTTAAAGATTAATGATATAAGCAGTGCAGGCGACGTGTTTCACTCGCAATTCGATTCGATCGATCCGTCCGTTTACCACGACGAGTGGTTTTTCAGTTTAACTGTAATTCTTTGTTCTTAAGCCTCGGCTGTACAAGTTTATCTATTTCAGAGTACATAAACTACAAACGTTTATGTGTTCTTCCCTTTAATCCGGTGTTGTGAGTACTCCCCGTTTGAGGCTGTTCCTCTCGTGCTTCCATCGCAATTTCCAGTTTCTATTCCCGATCGAACTTTGTTATTTCAATTATCATTCAAAAGATTCAGGATTTCGATCGTTTCGGTCAAAATAGAAGTAAATTATTAATTTCTTGGAAAAATTATTCTCACTACTCCACCTAAGTTAGTATTCTCGAATTTCTCAATACTAATCGCATTTAAATTTTTTATTTTATCGTAAGACGTAAATTTTTACACATTACAGATTACAGTGCGTTTAGATAAAAAAAATGTTTGTTTATTTCTTAAAAAAAAATGAAGTGTTATTCACTTCGAGGGTCGAGTTTGACCCTCAGACAGCATCGTAGATGACTGTATTGATTACTAAAATTTAGAATATTTGATTTTATTTTATATTTTATATTCTAAGGTTGCTGATAATACAAACAAATATTCTAATAATCGAATTTATTCAAATTCATTAAATACGAACAAATTAATGATCAAATTAAAAATTCTAAAACTAGATAATTTAACATTAAATCATTATATTTTCCAATGGCTCAATAATATCAATAAAGGTGATATTTTAGTATAAATAGGTCAGAAAATCAATTTTTTGTTTATATCAAAAATACAACACTTAAGAAGTATGAATTCTCTGATTAATAGTAAAAAACTTTCGAAAAGACTTTCGAAAAAATTTTCGACTTGAAGAATAAGGGGAAAAAGTTCATTCTTTGTAGAAGTTTATTCATGGAAGATACCTTGATATATTATAGTTAAGAGTATGGTCAATTAAGACTGCATCGATTGTTGAAAAGCATTAATTCATAAAAAAATGGAGTTTACTTCTATATATTCATTTATAAAAGAAAATTATTTATTACAATTAACTATTATAATTTACAAGTAATTTATATATATAGATTAAAATTAGTACTCTGTGTATTATAAAAAAGAATTAAAAATAACACAGTTAACTCCAAGCTAGTATGTACGCAGTTTTGGAGTTACAAATAGCAGTCTAAGTAAAATAATAATTTTATTCTGAGGTAACATATCGCTACATATAACATTTTCTGCGATAATGACATAACTAAAAAATCACGATTTTAGAAAAACTAGTGAATATTCATCTTGTTACAATTTTGTTACAACGTGACATTAAAATGCCGAGTTCCCATAATGATATTTTGAACATGTACACTTACAAGTAAAAAGTATAAGTGACAACTGTCTTTTCTGTATCAAAAACTCAGAAAAAATTGTAGCAAATTTTGAGTCACGTTATTATTGCAGAAAATGGGAATCAAATCTATGAGGTCAAATCTTATGTAATCTGGATTGCAAAGTTTTATATATTTATAGAGAATTTGAACGCGCAAACTGGATGTAATATACAATATACAATAATATAATAAAATAGTACAATAAAATAGAGTTTATTATAGATAATATTTATTGTATGAAACAAATTTTTATTTAAGATTAATTTCTTTATTCTTTAGTTATATTCGCAATAGAAAAATATGTAAAAATTTGCAGCCTATTCGTAACTTACAAGTTCAGATCTAAAATTTCCCTTAAAGTGTCTTCAGAATATTTCTAGGGAGTTATTTAATATTATTTACATTTCACCACTACAGTTATCTTTACTTCTTTACTGGTAGACCAAAATATTGAATTGTGATTCCTGTGACCTGATAAAATCTGTTTTGTGAATCTTTTGCCTCCTTTTTCTCTTGCTTTACTTCTTATCCTCTTATATCTCTTAGCTATGTATATTATAGCTCATTATGAAGAAATGATTTTTTTTTTATTATAATGAGTGTTTATTGTTTAAATTAAATTTTTAATGAAGCCTAAACTATATTTGTAAATTTAGGAGAATAATAATTTTAGGATATTTCAAGATTACTGTGAGATAAAAAAAAGAAACAGAAAGAAACAACGAAATTCACACAAAAAGCTGCTAATACTTTAAAATTCTCCAAAATTTACTTTGAAATAACATCGAATATTTATTTAATTGTTCTCGTAACAATTTTTTCATACAAGTTTTTTTACTTTTTTATCAAAATAAAAATATGAGCAGCCAAAATTTCTAACTCATCTATTTTTTTTTTAAATGAAGAAATTACGAATGTATTATATTGATTAATAAAATTCTCGATTTTTTGCCATCTCGTTATAATTCCGTTCAACTTTACAGTTGCACAAATTTTCGCGTTTGACGACTATACTCGTCACCTCTTAATGTCAACATACACTTTTAAAATAGAGTCACACAGCTAACAGCCATGGTTAAAACTACGCGAGAAACTCGATCATCGAGATGATGATAATAATGCGAATTTTCTACACCTAGAAAGTCTTCCGCCCTCTTGCCCACGTTTTTCTATTTTCTTTTTTTTTATGACGGGTTCGCAAAGCAACGGTGCATTGTTAATGATAGTTAATGACAGTTGTTACAGCTTAGTTGGCGACTATTAGTTTCTCGTGTACCTGGCACGCCGCGGCACACGCTCGGTAATTACCCGTACGTTCGATCGAACACTGTTCTGGAACGTAAGGTTACCAAGCTGGAGGCACCGTCTTTGGGATAAAGTAAGCGCGTTATGTGCGCCAAAGGAGATCTAAAAATCTTTTACGTAAGATTGGTGTTTATCTGTTAATCCATTTGCCGATCACGCTTATGCAACATTGTTCGATTTTATTTTCTTGACAGCCGCCACATGTACATACCTGTTTTACCCGTTTCTATTTTCACGTCTCGCGACTGAAATACAAATCAAACAGTTGGACGTAATATAAATGGTCGTATCGTTATCAAATCAATAACAAGACACCGGTTTTCTAGCAGCGTATCAGAATCATTAATCGCTTTCGAGCTTATTCACGTTTACAGTGGCTGACGAAAGTTTGAACACCTGTAGATAGTTTCCATATTATAATATTTTTTGCGCGAATTATACTATGTGCATTGCACAATGTTTTGTAATGACGTCTGATGATCGACGTTGCTGAAATTTGAAAGAAATCCAAAAATGTCAAATAAACAGAGAGATCGCAAAATTATTTAATAAGCATCAATATTTAGGAACTGTTTTGAGTATCCAGCTATTCTGCCTGAAGCTATTATTCAGATTGTATAATTTATAAATTTTTTATTTCTTTTAACTATTTATCTATATTTACAGACTGGTTTCAAATTCTATCACTAATCATGACAATTCAGTTTTATTACAATGCTAACGATATTTCAAAATGCTTTTGTGTGTCGCATAAAGATTATTTATAAAAATCTTCCGTCATTATTTAACGATTATATTAACATAACACACGCCAATTTTGTATTAATTATATTGCTTCGTCTAGAAGACAAGATGGGACAGCATCTATTTGCACATGTCATACGCATACACGACATTCAATCCATTTACATTTAATCTGTTCTCTGTTGAGGATCTTCCTCTATAGAGAATCACTTTTCTCTTTAACGTTTGAAGTTTTGAATAAATCAAAAGCTGCAATTGTTCATTCTTTTTGTTTTAAACAATTGCTTTAACATTTTGCAAATTGTATGTATGTGCTGATCTCTCAACGATCTTTGTTATATTCATTTGAGTAATTCATTTACTGACTCAATTCACTTGCATCTGAGTAATGTATTAAATTTTCAAAAAAATGACCTTCAATTATACTTGCAAAGATCCATAAAAATTACAAACAACACGAGTATATCCAAAAAGTTGACGATTTTTCACAGTTTGATTCTTTGGACCAACTTTGTAACTCTTGTTTCCCTTCGTATACGTTCGAATCATTTCATCTAAAAATTAATTGTTCACGAAAATGTGCCCTTACATCTTGTTTCAAATGTTTGATCGATAATATTTTTATAAACAGTTAAATTAATTAAACGATAATATTTTTATAAACAGATAAATACTTTAAGAATTTGTTGAACTGATAATATTCAAAAGATACGATTGAGAGTTGTTTAATGCTTATAAAACGCTTTAGCCATTAAAGCGTTTCAGCCAATAAACGCAGCGAAAGATACAATAAATTTATCGGCAACATATCCTGTAAAATAAAATTTTTTTTTCAGTAACACGAAGCGATATAAAACAGACAGTAGTCTCGGTTTATTCTCTCTTTCCTCTCTCACAACAACTTGTTCAAGTAATGTTAATGATGCATGTGTTGCTCCATACAAGAACCTAATAAATTAAATTTTATTTCACCAAGTTATAGCTATTATATGCATGATACTCACTTGTTATTGCCACTTTTTGTAGCTATCGTAATGCAGGATCAGCAGCTGATTCATGACACGAGTATGCGATATCTACCACTTTAAACACTCCGTTAATGTTGATGCAAAAAAGCTACTCGCGCTGAAAGAGTTAGCATTTTAAAATCCTTCGTTCGCGTTATCTGCGACCGATCTATCATTCTCAAGACCGCAGAATGAATTAGCGTAATTGCTACGAATCGTACGATCATTATTAGCTTCCAGTGTATGCATCGCCGTACACCCTGAATAACTGAGCATTACATGGTAATCGTGAGCCCCGATCGGTGCGCAAGCCTATCAATTGAAAGTAAATTCATGAAAGTCTTTATTACTTATTGTGAAATCGTTTATCTTAAATGATTCGTTCCGCCAATAATTCTCCCACCTGTAATCTCCGAATAACAATTACACGTGGTCATTATGTAGAAGCTAAATAGCTAGTGAAGTCTGCAAAGTCTGTGAACGAGTATCTTTTACGTGCGCATTAGTCGAGAGAGGAAAGAAGTAGTATTGTTCTGTTGTATTCAGACATCTGTATCAATACTTTCCATTGCATTGTCAATATTAGGTTAATGTATATTAAACGTTGTTGTTTCAAGTAAAATTTTTAACGTGTGAAGTTTATTTAAAAATATTAAATAATATAAATAATATTTTAAATTAAAATAATATTTTAAATTAACGTATAACTGAGAAGAAGATGATACGAAAGAGTAAGTTGAAAGGATAGAATGAAGCTTCTTCATTTAAGGCTTTGTTTTCGAGGAAATCCAGTTTGAAAATTTATCATTTAATTTATAGTTCAATTTAGCTAATTCTGGACTGGTTGTTCCATATTTCTATAAACTTTTTTTCTACCGTTTTAAAATTCGGTTTCATTTTTGACAGCTTCCGGAAACTTATGCTTGGTCGCTTATGGGCTGATCTGATACCTACACTATCAAAAAGTTAGCTATACATTCTGTTTCTCATATAAATCTGTCTTCAACATAAATAGTGATTACTTTATGGGTATTTTAATGGGTATTTTAATACGTTATATATATAAAAAATGAACGTATCTATTATTCTATACATAGCTAAAAGGTATGCAGAAATTAACATATAGCGAAATATTAATCTAAGGATACTTAAACTTTCAGATCACGAATCATCGGTGACTTCAGAAAATATACGAGAACGTATCACAGAAACTTTTAAAAATATATTAGAAAGTTTTTCATTAAAAAAATACAATGAGATACAGACTGTGAAATTTAAAGGATGTAAATAGAAATAATTGTTCTATATAAAGGTAAGTCTTTACTTTCTGTTTATATACAGAGGAATAATATTAAAATTCAATGTTCTATTAACTAAAACTTCAGGTAGGGTTCTATTATCAAATTTATTTTTTTGTTTGGTTACGGAAATAAGTACATATTTTTCCTGTTCTTTTTTTAAAAATGCTAATTTTTATAATTTTAATCGTAGTTTTCTACAATACTTAAAGATATTTTTTCTACCGTTGGATCCAACAGATTGTTCCCCCTTTCCAATTATATATCGTATTTAAAATATTTTCATTATGTAATATAAAATTGAAAAACTCAAAAAAGTGCTTTTATGTTTATTGCAAGTAGATTTTAAATATTTCTTTTGAAACCGTTTTATTTACAATCTTCTATACAATTAGTAATTTAGATGTATCTTTAACAATATCTAGAATGGTTAAAATGACTCAATTTGTAATTTTTTACAGAAATTTTTTAATTTACAGCGATTTACATTTTTAAAGATTTGAATGACACAAAGTCTAAAAAAATTTCATAAAATATATTCTAAATTATTCTAAAATTCTAAATATATAGTAAACTAGTTTTAATGTTTAATATAGTAAATAATGTATAATATAGTAAACTGACATTTTTTTTTATGTACAATTTAGACGACGGTATGATGTCTAATGTACAATATAATATAGTAAACCGACTATGAATTTACTATACTTATTTATTATTTATTACTATATTATACTTTTATTACTATATTATACATTATATAATTATTTACTATATTATACATTAAAACTAGTTCACTGCATGAATATTATATACCAAGATGTCAAAGATGAGTCACTCCGTATAAAACGATTCTACCATCTCGCCCTTTTTTAAAACCAAGATCCATCCCAATCGACAAACCGCATTGTAGAAAACAGATTTAATAAAACGGCGACACTTGTACGAGCGATTCTGAACGAAAGGAAGAAAGGGATCCACGCGTCACGCAAGATTGTCGCTTTAAAACACTTGCGTTGAGCGGGGGTGGTTTTCTCACTCTCATTCGTGGCAATCTTTCACATTCTACGCATACTTGCGCCTACCCAGACCCATTCTAGCGGATAGGTGGTATAACCGAGGCGAACTGCACAGCTCAAGCTCGAGTTCGAGCTACGCTGTAGGAGCGTTGGCAGTTTCGCGGAAGCAACAAGCTGTTTATGGCTGCTCCTTGCGCTCCTCTCGTATAGCCTTTCCCCCCTCTTTCTCCCTTGGCTCTCTTCTGCTCACGGTTGAGGACGAAGTTGTTGCTGCTGTTGCTTCTCGCGCGTTACGTCTCCTTGGTATCGGGAACCGGCACACTCTCTCCTTTCTACAAAAGGGTAGGTTATGGAGAAAGAGAGCGAGCGAGAAAGTAGTAAAGGAAGATAGTGAGAAAGAGGAAGAGAGAGAGAGAGAGAGAGAGAGAGAGAGAGAGAGAGAGAATCATGGGGGAGCCCTCCAGGGAGTAACCTTCGGCGCGAACAGCGTGCCAAGTGGCTGTTTACATCAATTTTATCGCCGATTTCTGAACCCTGCTTCGTCGGGACAGATTTCACACGATCGCGTCTCGTCGCATCAAATAAATCGTAGACACATGTGCATGCATGCACGTTGGTGAAGCACAATAGAGTAAATCATCAGCGTCGCGATAGACGGCAACGGACGAAACACACTCGCGAGTCGAGTTAAACAAAATACGTAGGTACACTCGTGTGTATCTGGAACGCACGTAGAACGCGAGTGAGAGATCGCAATGCTCCGAGTAACGTGTTTGACAAAGGCTGGAATGATAATTGTAATTAAATGCAGGAGAGTTTGATACGCTCCTTTTTTCCTTCGAACGCGTCTTAATTGAAGCTTTTGTTCTAAACGCAGTCCGGATAGCGGGGGTGAAACGTCTGTCTCGGCTGTGGTAACTGGTGCAGAGTGTAATAAATACTTCTTAGTCATGCTAGCCCAGCTCGACTGTATAAAGAACACTCGAGGCTCGATGCGTATTAATTAAAATCTTGCTTGTAAAATTTTTTTTGGAGGAACGTTCCCGAATGTGCGCTCCTCGACACACCGCGGCGAACCGAACAGAAGAGTCTGTTTGTCAAAGGAGGGAAGACAATCGGCGTGGAAGGGGGAAAAAGAAAGGAAATTCGGACGGAGTTTATCGGCCCGAGGATATCTCATGGAGGAATTTATCCCCGTAAAGCTACGAGAGACACGACAATCAAAATCCTTGCCTGAAACTTTATCGATCGCGCGCCTCGCGTGATTCATGTACTCGACATGCAATTCCTGATCACCCTACGGAGTGTCCAGATAACAGAGGGAGGACGTGTCCACGGGTGTATGCCGAGAAGCATGCACCGATGACCAGGAAAGGCGATAAAGGGAGACGAAAGGACACAGCGGAGCGGAGCGAACGAACGAGCGAGAGAGCGGCAAGTTCGGTATACGTTCGCATCTCCGCAACCCGTTGCATCCCTCTATCTAAAGCACGAGCCACCCCCGCCCTCTCCCGCCGGTGCTTCGTCCTGCTGTACACACCAGTGTCGGGATAGAGGGTTGCTCGGGAGCCGATCTGGGACGTGTGCTGGGCAGAGGCGAATACGAAGGTGGCCATAGAGCGGGGTAAGTCGTAAGACGGCGAGCGAGAGCCAGCCACTGGGAGAAAGACGGAATGATATACATGCGCACGTATACGTATAATAGAGAGACAGAGAAACGGTGAGAGAGAGATGATCGTAGGTGAGAGAACGAACAGCGGAACAGAGATAGAATTCGAAAGACGGCTTGGGGTCCGCGGTGAGAGAAGGGCAAGGAGGAGTACAAGGCGGAAGGAAGAACGAGAGAGAGTGAGAGAGAGAGAGAGTGATAGAGGGAGGGGGAGAGAAAGAGAGAGAGAGAGAGAGACGAGAGAAGTAGTAGTTGGAGAAGCGGCGGAAGGAGGAGGTGGAGGTTCGGGTAAGAGAGCGGAGGGAGTACCGTTAATTCCCCGATACAATGCTCATATCACCTTCCCCTCTCCCTGACCACCCACCGCCGCCACCATCGAATCGTCCCTCCCACCTTGCAGGTTCGCCTCGCGGACGTTCCTTGTCTTACTGGCAAACTTAATCGATATTTCACAGTTTCTTACCCCCTCCGGTCCCTGCCTCGCCATCCCTTTCTTTCTCTCGACCTTAGACGTCCTCTCTTTCCAGCTCGGGCCGCTCTTCGTGTCCGGCCGCAGAAAGCGCGAGGAGGAGGGTGGTATCGTTGATCGAACAGAGAGAAGGAGAGGCATCTTCCTTCCCTCCAATCGCACTTCCGAGAGCAGCACGGGGCAGCGCCGGAGCGCGCCGTTGCTGCCTGCGGGAACACTGTGTGCGAGTTGCAAATATCTATCTGCATATTGTATTACACGTCACGATAATGTACGCCCCCGGCTAAGACTTTCACCCTGCCACCTACCTTCTCTCCTTCTCCGTTCCTCTTATTTCAGCCACCCAAGCGCGGGTCTTTCTCTCTCTTTCTCAATCTCTACTTATAGCTGCCAGCCCGTTTTTCTTCTCGCGTACAAAACAATTACTTTTAGCTCTCAAAATGCCGTCCTCGTTCGTGGTTCGCCGTAAAAAAAAAAAAAAAAAAAAGTACGTAACTCTCCGCTATCCTTTTCTCAATCGTCGCATCGATTCGTTATCTCTGTTTTTTCTTGACACTTGTTGGTGTGCCGAAGGTAAAAACGAAGGTGCAACGCGTCATCGGTAGAAACCACGAGAATCACGAAACACGCACGAGGATATCGGGCACGTCCGTTTGATCGCTTCGTTCCGATTAACTTGACATTTTTAACAACTCGTGCTGGAATGACGTTCGAAAACGCAACGTCGAGAACTTTTTGTCCCAAAGTTGCAGCATATCTTCTCAGTTGTAAGTTTACAACCGAGGGAGAACAGAATGATAAACTTGTTACTTCTCGATAATTCGCGAAGAAGGCGACGAGTTATTGCGTACGGTCACTCGTTACGGTCCGCAATCAGTTGCCAGGGCAGGGCGGTTAATAACGAATAAACAACTTGCCGTTCTTCAAGATCTTTCGCTTCATTTCTGTTGCTCTGTATTTGGGCATCGTAGCAAAAGCACCGCACCGTTTGCGTTGTTCATCCAGCCGTCAGGACGATCCGCTTCATTCTTTACCGTCGAGCGCTCCACGACGGCGATGTCTCATTATCGTAATTGGACGCAACGCGCTCCCATCGGTTGAGTCACGACGAGGATCGCTATACCAGCTGCTGATTGGCTGCTCCTCCGCGAAGCTGTACGTGCTACCTGTTAACAAAAAGGAGAAATTACGCATCCGCGATAGTGCGAAGGAGGAGGTAAAATCGCGAGTCGGTGGAAATGGTCGCGGAACGACGACGACTTGTTTCGAAAGTTGCCGTTCGTCTCTCGTGTACGGGATAAATTCCCGGAGCAAAGGCGAAACGATTACGAAAGAGAAGCTTTCGTGTATATTATCGCGTGCTCCGATGATGATTTAAGAAAGCACGGCGCGGTTATCGCTCTGGCTTTATTATCTCTGATATATCGCGCCCAATAACACGGAACTTTGCGAAACTGCAGTTTTCTTATTTATTACAGACACATAACGCTACGTCGTTCGTAACGTAGAGAGAGTGCGTTAAAAGGGGCAACTTCCGGGAAGATTATTCTCGAGGAAATCGAATTACATCGTGTCACACTTTTCCTTCGCCGCGAACGTCGAACCAGCATTATTTCCACCGGGTATATACATCTATATTCTTATATCCGTTCCATCTTCGAATAACTAATTTGCTACAGGAATATTTTACAGTCAATGAATTATTCCATCCATTATTGAGATGTTCCATGTCTGAGACGTGTATCGTGACACATTAGAGTGAATCGTTAATTGCTATTCTAAAAATAGACACGTCACCTGGGTACCAACTTACTTGACATCGTTGAAAATCGATAAAAATGTAATTCCGAGGTAACTGTTCAAGAGCGAACGGGAAGTAGATACTGCTCGTTGGAAGAGAGATCTCCGATTCAAGAGTACGAAAATGGGGTGATGACTGCGAGGGGTTGAACGGCCGATATTCGCACCACACATTTAATGCACCATTTATAGCATTAGCGTATCTGGCCCTCCTACGCAAGTGGATGGCTCTTTCGTAACTCGACACCCTACGGATTTTCAGATTAAGATTTAAACGAAAATTTGTATCGTGCATTTTCACTCTGATTTTATTAATTAGGTCGAAGTCTGTCGGCTCGGACAGACTCGTAATCTTGCGTTTCTTTCTTTTTGTTCTACCTACAATCCGGGAATACACGTACGATACAGTTTCTGTGCACACACAGTGTGTATCCAAGAGAAAGCAATTCATTGGTTAGAATACCAGAGACGTCATCGCGATTTATGTTCAAATATCATGCGCATATAGATCAATAGTATAAACTATCCACGTTCGTAATGGCAGGTCACTACATGGAAGTATTTGTACGATTTTACATCACCTAATGAATATTTCATCGATTCGTCGAATGTTAATTACTCTGAAACATCAAATCATCACGGTTTTTGATTTCGATATAGCACCTATAAAAATTCTAGTTAACAATTTAAACATTGCTCACTGCTGTACTATAACATGGTTTAAGTATTTAAAATTATTATAATCATTGCAATTAATATGTAGATATTTAAATATACTAATTTAAGTATACTAACATAAATAATACCATATCAGGTATAACATTTAGTAATTATTAAGTGTTATTGATATTGAAATATTCAAAGTACTCTGGTATAGATAAAACTTACGAAAATTGTCGTAAACTAATTAAATACAAATTAAATTCAATTTCACGTGCTGATCGATACATTTATCGATCGGCGGCAAAGAGGCGAAGGGCGAAAGTTTTTGGAGCGAAAGTTTTTTGGCGTAAAAGTCAAGGTGTCGGCCGGCCCCCATTCCAAAGCATTCCATCGAACACTTAAACGTGGTACCCTATCTGGACTTTTCGAACTTCGTGAGAGACACAAACGGAAAGTACAGGAGGCTCGATAGTCGCATTCGTCTCTAGGTATCTCGTAGCGTAAGAGAGGAAAGATAGACGACGACAGAGAAGCGGAGCAGATATAGAGAGCGAATGTGAGAGAAGGAGAGACAGAAGGTGGAGAGGGTGAGACAAGAGGAGATCCGTTACTGTCAAACAGTGGCGGCCGTCGGTGCCGCTTCTACCCAAGCACCTTGTGCACGTGAATCAATAGCATTAACCCATTCCATCCTATCAAAAGGGGTGAGGTGGGTGGCCCGTTGGGCGAAGGAGGAGAGGGTGCAAAGGGGTGGCAATAGTAACAATCCTGAGGTATTTAGCCGCTCGCCCCCAGGACAGCGAGGGAGCCAAGATACCGCTAAGACCGTCCGCGTACTGTGTAGCATCCATCCCATCGCGCAGACCCCTTTCTCCTTCCCTGTTTCTCCCCGGCTCCCTCTTTATCCCTCTATCGGTATCTGCTTCTATCTGTTCGTTCCTCGTTTCACCCTCTTCCATCCCCGAATGTATCGTGGCTGTATTCTCATACGGACTCGCTCTGCCCGTGGCTCTTGAACCGTGTGTTAGATGCACGTAAGTGTGTCCATACCGGGTGATCAGCCGGAAAGCTTCGCCCCGCCGCGCCGGGTCAACGCTTCCGAATTCACCAGCACACCGGCCGTTTCTATTATCAAAATCTTCGACAGGACTTACCAGGATTGTTTCGCGTAATTTTCTGGACCACGCTCGACGAGGCCAGCGATCGAAAATCTGCCGGTTCCTGACTAGGTTATGCTAACAATGGAGGAGACTCTTGTTTGGATCGAGCTGATAATTTTCGGGCATGCATACAGCGTTCTTCTATGGCAATTCTTCTGCTAAATGGAATGATAAATATATTTTAGGCTTGTTGCTTTAGACGTATTGTTAATCGTAACGTAAATTAGAAACAGATGTTAAATATATAATGATATATGTTAAATAATGAAATAGTTTATTACTGTCTATGGTTGTTTATAAAACTTAAGCATAAATTAAGACATTACATACTAGTATCAAATAAGTTCTAATATTGTACTCTTTACAAAAATTCATAATGAAATCTACAGCGAAATGTGTAATCTCAGTCATCAGTGTCATACCCACGTGCATTTGAGTGATTTTCGAAAGTTTTTTTTTTCCCCAAGACGTAAGTTTCCGATTCAATTTTGTTGCTCTGTAGGTTTATGTTTTGTATCATTATATAACTGACGCATACTTCCTTCGTTAATTAATTAGACATGATACATGACAGCTTTAATGTTTGTCATCAAAAATTAAGTAATTAATAAGTTCATTGTGAACATACAAGAGGATGGTTGAAAACTAATTTGTTACTTCAATTTGGTATAAATATTCTCAATTACGAAAGTTATGTTAGTTTTTCATATGCAATATTACAGGAAAAAAAAACTATAATTTTCCTTTCTAATAACTATTCTCTAAATTTCACATAATAGTACATACTGAATAAGTTGAAAAAGTTTGAAAAAGAATAGTTCGATAAAGAAAGGAATATTTTATTAATATAAGTATCGTTAAAGTAAGTATAAGTATTCATTAATATTTTCCTGACTATTTATTTCCATAAATGCTTGTTATAATTGGCATAAATGATTCTTTGTTATGTTCTCTTTTCTTATTATATATTATATATTACTTTTTTATTTTAATCACTTCCCAAAATTATTAATAATTATTTTAATACCATATCTTAATACCATACTCGTTACAGTAATAAGCTCATTAAAAACGAGAATGAGAAATTCTATAAATATCCTCTTCATTCATTTCTTAAAATAAAGTCAAGGGAAGTTCAAGTCAAGACGGACTTAAAACGGAAAAGGACTATGCGATCTTCCTATGTTTATTTTTCGCAATTTTATCCGACTATGAAAAAGTAAGAAACGAAGTGAATACAATGTATAAAGGAGAAATGATATTAACATTGTTTAAACAATGTTAATATGGTGTATTTTCTCTAGAAAGATTATTTATTTGTTATTTATGTAGTATTTTTACTTTCTGACATTTCTGAAAGTTAAATAAAAAAGTTGTACTTATAACCGAGTCTATAGAGAAATATTAATACGGCTGTTAATTTAAAAACTTTAGCGTAATGTATTTCGTCTGATAAAATTATTTTCGTTGTAAATACATTTCGTCCGTTTGTTTCTCTATAATATTTTGCATATTTCATGTTTATGAAATACTTCTTACCTCGTTTTCTGAGTCATATTTTAAATATTTATTTCAATTGTTAATTCGTAAAATGCATGAATGTAAATTATAACATGTAAGTATTACAAATAAATGAATGTAAATTATAACAATTACCGTATTACAAATAAATGGCATGAATGCTTGTTAGATTTAAACAAATTATATTGAAATATTGTAAAATATTATATGCATAATAGATTCTTATCATAATGTTACATCAAAATTATTATCATTGATATATTTAATAAAACTTAAGTAATGCTATACTAATTACGTAAATCTTAGTTATTTGATAATAATGATTTCTTTAATGTATATTAATAAAATCATATATATAGTTACTCTGTTACTTTTCTCGTTATTACCCTCACATACACCACCGTGTATAAATATTTAGACATTTTTAAATTATTGCAATATAAAATAAAATTCAAACGAACCTCTTTGATTTAATCTTATATATAGTTAATATATACAATGAGTATTAATAAAAAAATTAATTAATAAAAAAGTAATTATAATAATTAAACTAATTATAATAATTAAATGGCAGAATAACTTTATATAACTTAAATATGTCTGTTCATTACTGAATCATTTTAAAAAGATTGAAATATGTATCTACGACATTGAGAAAGTTTATACAAGTTTCATGAAGCATCAGCTATTTGTTAGAAATGAATGTGAAACCTGAACATCTAGAAAATTAATGTTCGTCAATCATAGTTGTCGAAGTGTAACAAAAATTGCATCAAGTATTTCATTATTTATGGTAATAATATACACGGTAGTTTTTATACGGATTTTTATACATTTCAAAATTTTCACGAACATGATTAAACAAATGGCACTTGAATAAAAAAGTGTTTTTTCTACATGTTATTATAATTTGGATTGGATACAGTTTAATTATTACGTATGTAGGTACGGTTCAAAATAATTTCGAATGAAATAAAGCGAAGAACACAAATCACTACGTATCGTCTGTTGTACATATAATGCATTATTGACTCATTAAAATCACATCGTTTGCTATCAATCACCTTGACAATAAAATTCCTCTCGTGAGTTATTTCTAGACTTGAAATGTTATTTGTATCTTCTGGCGAAACGGATTATTGCCCGATGAAACGACAATGAAACGAGAACAGAAACGATCATTTAGTCAATGAACAGCACACCATCCGTAATCCTGAAAATCAAGGCGATCGTGCAGAATATCGATAGCGGCGAATGCTTCTGATCTTTTCATTAGTCGAGCACAGGATCGTATCGCGCTTTCGTTGCCGACGACGGCAGGCGACGGTTTACGTGTAATTTTTTCGTATTACGGTTAGTTCGATTCGCAGAGGAAGAGAGAACGAGAAGAAAGGAAACAAGAAGGGGGGAGGGGAGGAAAAATGGGAACGGGGATGAGGCGAAAACGAAGGGAGACGGGAAACAAAATGAAAACGGGAGAAAGAAAGGAAGCAAGGAAAAATATGAACGAAGCTCGGAAGAATGGCATTAATGCAGCGATCTGTGCAGTCTGGTAGAGCGGCGTTTCTGACTGTTGGTGCCGCAATACGCTCGCTTTGGTGCGGCCAGTAGAAGCGTGCTAGTCGCTTTTGGATTTAACCAAGACCTTCCTTGTTCTAGCGAAGTGGAGCCCGGCAGAGCCCAGTAGAGCGCAGTGAAATGCGTCGAGCATTCGGCTCGAGCAAACCACTCGAGTATGACATGAATTTTTTTGGCTCTCCTCCTTCTCCACCTCGTGCCTCCACCTCTTCATCCTCCTGATCCTTCTCCACCTCCGCTGCTGTGCTGCACTTCCACTGAAAGTATCGCACGGGCCACCCGTTTCTTGTTTTTTTTTTTTTCCCCTCGTCGAAACTCTCACTCTTTCGTCCGCGCAACTAAATGGTAAAAATTAATTCAGGCTCTATTAGTTTCATGTCCGTATAATATCCCGCAGAGATTGACAAGTTGCATCACTGGATACGCTGAGATTATGTCAGTTACCAACGTTCGTCAGGTTTTCAGGTTTTTTGTATAACGTTAACTTGTTAACTGAGTAGATACAATTAACGAGACGATATGCATAGCCGTTAAATACAGAGTAACTGCAGTAACATTGAATTGAATTATAACGATACTGTTGTTGCTTTTTTTTTTTTTTTTTTTAAGAAATCAATAATTTTATTGCTTGAATTCGGTGGCATTATTTGTAAAACTTCAACATTCATAATTTTCTTGCTTAAGAAAGAAATCGGGAAGATCAAATAAAATTTAATCTGTTTTTATTTTCTTTTTCCAACTGCGAAAAGAATTAGCAAGAAGATATTTTGGAATTATCACGAAGTTATCACTAAGAGCTAAATAAATATTTTAAATATTTCATTTAAAAAATAAATTTCGAGAAATTACAATTTTATTGTACTAGCAATTAACTGCGTACAGATTTTTTTTCAAGTGAATGACTTTTTCCTTTTCATTTTCATCTCAAAATATTTTAAAATACACTTTTACGAATATTTCTTGCTTTTCACTGGAGCAAAATTTTGTAAAATATACAAATTAATGGCAAATTAATTGAAGCACTTCCAACTACTATGGGTAATATTTACAAATTTGAATTAATAAATATCTATATATTAAGAAAACTCAAGTATTGAATATCTTATATAGAATATATATTTATTTATTTACAATTACATATACGACATGTTGATACACTTGTTGACTTTAGATATCGCTGCTGAAAATAACATTGATTTATCTATAGATTTGAAAGAATATTTTTTATGTAACTCAAAACACAAATAGCTTCTTAAATAATAAAACAGTTACATACAATTGAACTATTACAAATGCTAATCAATGTTATTGTATATTAGCTTTTCGAAATCAATTTTATTGTACCATAATATTCTATTATACACGATTGTAATGATTGTGAAGAATTTTTTCAAATATTTATTCTACATCAAACGAATCAAATGAAGCAAATGACCGAATATTTTTAATATTTCTTAAGCAGATGACTGTATGTGTCTCCAGTAATTAATACTTTGTATCCAGTAAGTAATATTTTGCTTAATGAAGTTTACTTGAATTCAAGCAATTAGAAATCGTTTTCCCAAGATGAATCTATTATTTATTTGAATCACATGCATACTTGGGAAATATTCTTTCAAATCCCAGGTGAAATCGAACTTACTCCAATTGTTCTTTGATTTGAAAGAAACAATAATTGTTGCGTAAGGTAATATTATTTCCACTTTCGTGTTTGCTAATCAACTTGCTTAAATAGAGTTGAATTTTATTATACGCTGTTATACGACTAACAATGAGTTGAAGTCTTGAAATTATAACGTAACGTAAAAGTCATTTTTCCTTTAAAATAATATTATTGCAAACTAGAACATCAAAACACCTTCATTGTACGAATAAATTATAAATTAA